TTTTATACCATTTTTTCAATTTTCAAAATAATGCTAAATATTTTGGACAAACATAAGTAAAAATCATCATTAACCTATACTAATTCAAAATTTTATGATCATTCAACGAATACATTATTCACTTAAAAAATTTCTGCTATTCAACTATTTGATTATTCCGTTATTCTACTCATAGTCTGAACATATTAGTTGTTGTGAATAAATTTAACTTCTTAATTTATATGTCTCTTAAAAATATGGGAAATAGGATCTATATTACTTATTAGTCATATAATTTATGATCTAACACTACATAAAACAAAATAAACAACTAACATTCTAGCAATGTGAGATTCCAAGTTTGCCCTTATTATAATTATGGTAAGAAATTCCATATAAAAAATATCCTCTCTATAATAAATGGTCTTAGATCTCATTTTTCATAATTATTTCTTTTAATGCATTGTCTCTCATATTTGTTCTCTTATGTCTTATAAAAATTGATCAAAGGTAGTATAATACGAACACATGGTTAGATAATTAAATGTGGTTTTTAGATAATCACCAATGTTATCATAATAATTAATTATGATTTTAAATAGTTAACTATGCAACTGACTATATAAACAGTTTTTTTTCCATGTGTATAGGTAACTATTAAGAAAATTTTTTTACATAAATAGTTAACTATCCAACTTAAACTGTTTTCTTAATAGTTCATCCGAAAACCATTATTTATATAAATAGTTAACTATGCAACCAACTATTTTTCGGATGTATAGTTAACTATTAAGAATGTTATAATATAATATGCTATTTTCGGAACAATGCGAGCGTACAATAATTCATCATTTCTAAACAGTTTACTATATTACGAGAATTTATAAATAAAATATTCTGTGTATCATAGTTTGAACCCTTCTTCTCACTTTCTATAATGTCAGTTTTTTTTAGAAAACATATTTATGGGGAGATAGAACAATTAATAATTATAGAGGTACAATAGTCAATTTTTTTTTTACCTAAATTTAATTATGCGCATGTTATTTTTTTAATTATGTACAATAAATGTAATATTTAACTAATTAACCCTAAAATATAGTATGTAATTTAGCTTAAAAGAATTTATTAGCGTCACATGTGATTAAGCTAAGTCTTTCTTTTAGGATTACGTGTAATTTAGTTTGGTCTTATGGACCGGCTCTAGAAAAATTCATGTTAAATTTCTCTCAATAACATTGGTTTCAACTTACAAAAACAAAGGTGTAAAAGCTCCAAAAAGTTTTAAAGCGTTTGATATCTAAAAACAATAAAAATGATAACCGGGGTTTTCCCGCGCATGTTTAGTAATAAATAATTCAATTAACTTACATCTTTTTAGTGATTCCAACTGCACCAAGATAAACAGCGTCCGACTCAAGAGACACCTTTAAAGTCTCTTCTGGCAACGGAACTCCGGTGGCTTCAATAGCCGCGCCACCGATTGGCATCTCCTTAAACACGAACTCAATTCCTGTAAATTAACCACTAATTAGGCATATTTTAAAAAATAATGAGAAAGTTCCGGGTCGATACCCAACTAGTCTTCATGGTAAATATTATAGTTTTTGAATAGTTCATTCACCAAATTTTTCTTAAACAATTAAAATGTGGTACTATTTTAACTGACTAAATATAAACAAAATTATTTCTTTTGGGAATCAAACTCGAGAAAACGGCCAATTCCCCCATGAAATATTGGGTTCCCGACAATTTATCCATGAACTATTAACATCGGCGAAAAACCATATGAATTACACTTAATTTTGAATTTACTACATGATCTACAAAATTATTGCCGATTTACACAAAACCATCAACGGTGTCAATTTCCCGTTAACGGATTCTGACGTGGCAAACGGGGTCTGATTCGGTTTGAGACTTGACCAAAATCAATTGTGATTCGGTTTAGACTTGACCAAAATCAATTGATTTTGGGTAATTTATTAACAGAACGTCGTCGTTTGTTTAAATTTAGGGGTGAAAAAAAAAAAAAATAGGGTTCATATCGGGTTCCCGATATCGAATCGTGAGAGATAGAGAGGAGTTTGAGGTGTTCGAATTAGGATAAAGAGATTAAGAGATAAAAAGATCGAGATATAGAGAGAAATCAGAGTTGTTTGGTGGTGCAAATCAAATCGATTCAGGGATAAATCGGCCCAAAGACGAGTTCCTCTCGCTTGTTGGGAATGAGGTAAATGGACTTTGATTTGTGATTATAAGTTTTGGTTGAGAAGTATATGTGGTTTCTTTCTAGTATGTTGGTCATTTAAAGCTTATTTGTTGCGATTTATGTCGGATTTTGATGATGATAGAGTTTGATTATAAGATGTCTACCAAGTGTTYGATAAAATGTGTGAAAGAGTTTAACTGGGTTTTCATTTTTGTTTTCATCCTTGCGTGGAGATTGGTTTGGTTAATGTCCGGTTTGCTTTGAATTTCTTCTCTCAGATTCTTGAGTAGAATCTAAAAGATACTGTACCTAGTTTTTCTATCACGTGTTCTTTATGTAGAAGAAAAGGCATTGTGTTGAATATTTAATTTCCAAACATTATGGTCCTCTGCTACTTTAATTACCAGAAATTTCAAAAAATTGTTTGTCCAACCAAATTAAACGGTACACACAAACAAAAATAATTACCAAAGTCTTTTGTGAGRAAATGAGTCAGATCATTTRGATATATATTACAGTTGATAACACTACAAAACAATTGTATTTTTTTTAATACGACGGTAAGTCTCATTTCTATAGCTGATCACTATGAAACTGGGTTTTCATTTTTGTTTTTGTAGTGAAGAAGAACTTGTCTCTATAGCTGATCACTATGAAACAATCCTCAGTCTACTGTTCTCCTAGAGACATATCAG